CTCCGTTGCCATTCTGCTGGGGACTGGCATTTATGGGTACATTCCTATGATTTTATTAATTAAAAAAAATAACCTATATGGGAAACCACTGTCAAGATAAAATTTTGAGGGTGCATTTTTTTTACTAAGAAGAAAGAAGCTTATAAAGCGTCCATCATGAGAATCCACCTGGGACTCCACAAGAGATCACATACCCAAAACAAATCACCACGTCAGAGCCCCACAGAATTCTGAATCCCAACCAGCAAGCATGAATAATCCTTTTAAATGGTCACTTACATATCAGAACAGGTCCTTTGTGAAATTTCTAAGCAAGGCCTCTGGTTTCTGACTGAAACAGAGATTTATTGGGAAGGGGGGATGAAGTGAAATCAAGAACTACTGGGAAACTTCCACGAGAAAAGAGGACAAATGGTTTTTGTTGTCAGAATAAAACCAGCCTCTCCTGGCAAGGGTTCAGAAAGCTGCTGACTACCCCACAGGAGAGTTGAGCAATATTTTCAACTGGTTTCTCAGGGACCATCCTGATTAAGTTGTAGTTATGGGGCAGATGCAATAGTTTTAAATCCTGGGTCGCTGTCTTATTAGCTGAGTAACCTTAAGTAAAAGTCACTTAACCTCTCTGATAACTGGTTCAACATCTTTAATATGTTGAGAGTTAATGCTACCCAATTACCTTACTAAATTATTGCAAAAACCAAGTGAGTTCAAATTTCTGAAAGTTCTTTCTAAATTATAAGACTCTGTATAAGTGGAAGGTGTTATTAAATATGCTTTTGCACAATATTAAATACCCCACATAGGACTCAGAAGCCTCTGTAACTCTGGGTTCTCCATTTCTAGCGATGGTCTGGTTTTTGCTTTGCTCTCTACAGTTTCACTGAATTTTTTTTTTCTTTTTAAAGAAAGACATAAACAAAGGCAAAGGGGAAAAAATGGAATCATACATCCTACTTTTTGGTGCTGCTAGGCAAGAATTTTAGGCTGAGCCTTGGTTCATTACCATGACTTGATATCAATATCACCTGAGGGATAGAAGTAAAATAGGGAGCATCCCAAAGGCATGTGATTCATCTCCCCACTGATGGAAGAAGAAAACATCAATTTACAGGAATCAGTTATATTTCTAATTACTAGAAGCAAACAACTGGAAAACTAAATTTATAAAACTATTCCATTTACAATAGCATGAAAATATATTAAATACTCATGAATCAATTTAACAAAAATTGTGTGAGACTTCCACACTAAACTACAAAACATACGTAAGAGAAATTAACCTACAAAGTATGCAAAAGAAATTAAAGAAAACTAAATAAATTGAGAGATATATCACATTCACGGACTAGAAATCTCAATATTATTAAAATGCAATTCTTCCTAAATTTCTCTATGGATTCAACACAATCTCAATCAAAACCTCAACAGGCTCTGGTTAAAAAAATGACAAGTTGATTTTAAAATGTATATAGAAATGCAAAGGACTTAAGATACATAACTTTGTCTATATGGAGAAAAAGAAAATAGAGTTGGAGGAGTCACCTGATTTAAATATCTACTTTAAAACTTCAATAATCAAGACAATGTAATATTGGCATAGGGATAGACAACAGATTAATGGGACAGAAGGGAGAATCTTGAAATAGACCCACATATATACGGTCAACTGATTTTTAACAAACTCATCAAGGGAAAAGTAAATTGTTTTCAATAACAACTGGATATGGGGAAAAAGTGAACCTCACACAAAAATTAATTCAAAATCAGGACTTCCCTGGTGGCACAGTGGTTAAGAATCTGCCTGCCAATGCAGGGGACACGGGTTCAAGTCCTGGTCCAGGAATATCCCACATGTTGCAGAGCAGCTAAGCCCGTGTGCCACAACTACTGGGCCTGTGCTCTAGAGTCCACTAGCTACAACTATTGAGCCTGCATGCCACAACTACTGAAGCCCGTGCACCTAGAGCCTGTGCTCCACAGCAAAGGGAAGCCACCACAATGAGAAGCCCACACACCACAACAAAGAGTAACCCCCGCTCACCACAACTAGAGAGAAAGCCTGCACGCAGCAATGAAGACCCAATGCAGCTAAAAATTAATTAATTAATTTTCAGAAATTAATTCAAAATCATCATAGACTTAAATGTAAAAATTAAAACTACAATGATTCTAGAAGAAAACATAGGAAAAACATCTTTTTGATCTTTGGGTAAGCAAAGATTTCCTACAGAGGATAAAAAAAGTATATACCAACTATATAAGAAAAAAATTAGCCATCATCAAAATTGAATACTTATGCTCATTAAAAGACACCATTAAGAGAAAAAAAAATGGTTCTGAAGAACCTAGGGGCAGGACAGGAATAAAGACACAGACATAGAGCATGGACTTGAGGACATGGGGAGGGGGAAGGGTAAGCTGGAACGAAGTGAGAGAGTGGCATGGACATATATACACTACCAAATGTAAAACAGATAGCTAGTGGGAAGCAGCTGCATAGCACAGGGAAATCAGCTTCGTGCTTTGTGACCACCTAGAGGGGTGGGATAGGGAGGGCAGGAGGGAGACGCAAGAGGGAGGGGATATGGGGATATATGTATTTGTATAGCTGATTCACTTTGTTATAAAGCAGAAACTAACACACTATTGTAAAGCAATTATACTCCAATAAAGATGTTAAGAAAATAAAGAATTTGAAAAGGAAGGTGACAGACAGGGAGAAAATGTTTGTAATACATATATCTGACAAAAGACTTATTATCCAGGGAAATCCCTGGTGGTCCAGTGGTTAGGACTCTGTACTCTCACTGCCAAGGGCCTGCTTTCAGTCTCTGGTCAGGGAACTAAGAAAGATCCTACAAGCCGGCAGTGTGGCCAAAAGAAAAAAAAAGATGTATTATCCAGAATATATAAAGAACTTCTATAAATCAATAACAAAAAGACAAACAGTGCATTTTTAATTGAGCAAATACATTTTGAACCGGTACATAACAGAAGAGCTCACAAGTGGACAATATGCATATGAAAATGAGCTCAACATCACTAGAACAATGTAAATCTAAACCAAAATAAGACAATATTTTGCACTCACTAGAATAGTTAAAATAAAAAAGACTGACGACACCAAATGTTGTTGAGGATATGAAGCAACTAGAACTCTCACACATTGCAAATAGGAGTACACGATGGAAAACAGTTTGGCAGTTTCTTGTAAAATTAAACATACATCTACCCTACAATCAGGATTCTACTCCTAGATATTAACTAAAGAAATGTAGATGTGTCCACAAAAAGACGTGTAAGAATGCTTACAATGGCATGATTCATAGTAGCTAATAAGTGGAAACAACCCAAATGTTCATCAACAGGAGACTGGAAAAGTAAACTGTGATATATTCATACATTGCCATATACCACACTGCAACAGAGGAGGATGAACTGGTGACAGACGCAATGGGTGTGGATGAATCAAAAAATATATATTAAAGGAAAAAAACCAGTAACAAACGAGTACATAGTATATGACTCTATGTGAAGTTCAAGAACAGGCAAAACCTAAATAAGGCAGCAGAAATTATGACAATGGGTGCCTAAGGGGCATTGCAAGGAGGATGGGGGAACTATAGGGGGTGATGGGAATGTTTTATATCTTATTCTGGATGGTTGTTACCCAGATGTATACATTTTTCAAAACTCATTGAATTGTAGCCTTAAGATTATTTATTTCACTGCATATAAAATTTACTTAATGAATGACTGAATGAATGGTAACACCATGGGGAGATAACCACACAAATCCAGAAGGTGGGATTCTGCAGGACAACTGGTCAGGTCTCTTCAAAAATTACTGTCATTAAGTAAAAGATAAAGGGATTGTGGTAGATTATAAAAGACTTAAGAGATGTAACAACCAGATGCAATATAGGGTGTTAGACAGGATGCTGCTCCGGGCAAACCCTCTATTAAAGACATTCTGGGGACACTTGGAGGAAATTTTAATATGATCTTGGTTTTAGATGACATAAAAACGTATTAATACAAAGTGGGAGACTGTTGATAGAAAAAAAAAACAAGTTACAAGGCAGTGTGTACTTTCAGATCTCCTTTTGGTTTTTACAAAAAGGCAAATACATATTATATATTGTGTATACTATATATGATTTAGAACTATGTATGTATATTATATATGTATATAAAGAGATCCAATAAGGAATATACATTTATCAATTAACATAAGTAAGTCAGGCAGAGAGATATGATGTTTACATTTTCTTATTTTTCTGTTTTTTCTAACTTTCCACCATAAACAAATACTGCTTCCACAATAATATATGTTGCTTGAAGATATTAGTTTCTGAAATTCACTGTTTTATAAGACAAGGTAAAAGATGGATGGATAGGGCCAGGAGAAAGAAACCTCAGACTGTTCTATCTACTAAGTGAGTCTCCTATTGGGCATTTTCCATGCGTATCTCATTTCATTCTCACAACAAACCTATGATGTATCTTCCCCGTTTTTACATAACTGATGATGATACAAGTGAGCATTTTAACATAATATTACCTGACCTCAAGACTCATGTTCTTTCCACGTCACTTACATATTTAGTAAGTTTTCTTACTAAACATTTGTGAAGCATTTACTATGAACCAGGCATTCTGTTACATGTTTTACAAGAATCACCTCAATCCTACCTCATAACAATCCATGTAAGGATGATACTATTATAACCCTCGTTTTAAAAATAAGAAAACAGAGGCACAGAAATCAAATAAGTCCCCCAAGTTCCCAACAGCTAAAAAGTAGCAGAACCAAGAATCAAGTTCAGGCCACCTGATTCTTCACACGCCTACCCAGTATACTACAGCATGTCTCTAAATTCCCATGCTTTCAACAAGTTCCCAGTGGAGTAGGGGAGTATGAGTGACAGCTACCAACAAAGGGAACACTGATATCGGAGGCCTGCCATGAAGGCTTTCATGGTGACATCCTTGCTTACCTGTCCAGGGCTGTGCTGGTGGGCATACTCCTCCCAAACCCTCGGACCCCCATCTGACGGAAATACGGAATGCAAGAGAGGTTGGCGGCAATGATGGCCAGGGAGTCGGAAGGGCTCACAAAGAAGCCATTTTGGCCTAGGATCATATAACGGTCCTGTGGGAAAGAATGTGTGAAAATGTTCAGGCAAAGGCATCTGCCGCCAGCAGTCCATTCCCATCATCATTACAAGCCACTTTACTGCCATTCCACATTTAAACAACATAAAACAACTTGAATGAGGCCAAAGAGGGCATGGGAAACCAAGATCTCTGAATATTATAGGGCCCACGATCTTGACACAACTAGGAATATATCCCACCTGTCGAAATGTGGATGACTTCCTCAGGCTTCAGTAGCCTCTATATTCTTAATACACACTTTCCCCCAAACATAATGGAGAACAGAGATTATTGCTAAAATAGCTCGCTTCTTAACATGGTGATTTCAACAAAATCAGCCATAATAAAGATGTATTGCATGATTTTTTTAAAAAAAGAAATAACCTCTTTATAACATAAGCTTACTTGAAAAAAGAAAAGTAATGGCTATTTAAGCGCAATACTTGGCCATTAGATAGAAGGGCAGATGCAGAGCCAGTTAGGGTTCACATGCCCCATACATGTCAGCCCCAGAGGTATCCAAAAGCTCTCTGGTTTCCAGTGCTTGGCTCATTGTATAGCAAAAGGATCAGCATGCAGAAAACTTTCCTACTTACCCCATCAGCATCAAATGCAGCTCCAAACCCATATTCCCCTCCTTTCATAGCTTCCAGAAGGGTCGTTGCATATGTCAGGTTGGGGTCAGGATGCTGCCCTCCAAAATCTTCCAGGGGAACACAGTTGATTGCAGAATTGGCTGGGGCCCCCAGCTCATCACACAGGACTTTTCTCACATAGGGTCCCATAACTGAAAAAAATACACAGCAATATGAGATCTTTGCAGAACCTCTGCCCCCGCCCCCACAACCAAGGGTGGTTTGCTCTGCTTAGAACAAGAAGGTTACTTAATCGCTCAAGAAAAAAAATAATAAATTCTACAAGTTTTCTCAAGACACAACACAGAATAATATTTACTTCAACTACTACTCATTGAGCATCTGCTATGTGCCATTGACTGTGTTAGGCATACAGAAGTTGTATTCAATAATCCAGTTCCATGAAATTTCTCTCCAAAACTTATCTAAAATATTGCCAGAAATAAATCAACTACCTAATAATGATTTATTGACTGTTACTTTTTATGTACGAAAAGCTTTAGCTGAATATATGCAAAAGCACTAATAGGCTCTAGCAACATTCTTTGTCTCTACAGTTGTTTTAACTTTGCCAAGTGTATAATTAAACACTGTAAAACACTGAAGCATATAAAACTAAGCACATTTTACAAAATAAATGTTAAGGAGTTGTGTTTTCCAGTTCAACACACAGTCGTGGAGTGCCTAACACGGAACTCCTATGTGAAGAATGGAGGGCATCAAGGGACGCAAAGCACCCAGTTCCGACATTACTGGGCTCTCAGTCTAGCAGTGGAATGAGTCAACTCTACAGGTGAGTGACTGCAATGGTAAGACTAGTTCTATTCAATGTATATTTATGAAATAATACGATCCAATGGCTTGAAAGAAGAAATGACCACAGGCACGGCTTCAAGAAGAAGGCAGCATTTCTGGGAGGGCTTGGAAGAATATAAATTTGACAGGAGTGAGGACGCCATCCAAATGGAAAGAACACTATAAGCAAGGGAACGGAGCCTGGTGTAGAACATACAGCAAGCACACTTGGGGATCAGCACATAATCCTGTTGGCTGAAATATATCAAAGTACTGCTTTCCATTTATTTTCCACTAATACAATTCAAACCTCAAAGAGTGAACATGTTTTGATTTTTCCTGCCCAGCACCCCTTTCCCCTTCCTCCGGTAGCAGCATCTTGGGTTTCCTTTGGAGAACCAATCCTTTTCCCATCTCAGTTCATGTGATCAGGATGTGGCTAAACCCTACTTACCCTAAGGCTGGGGAGGTGACCTAGGTCTGCCACTCAGTATCCTCCATCCCTCAACCTGAGTGACTGATTCAGAGACGAACACACAGTACAAGCTAGGCAATGAGGCTCAAATCCAAAACATTGCTCAAACTGTTTGGAAAGAGAAGCTGTCTTCCCTCTAGGCCAGATAAAGCTAAGGTAAGAAACTGAAAGAGCCTTTTCTGGGGAAAGAAACCAGCCCAATAGGAAAAAGCAAAACAGCCCAGCCAGAAGACCTCAGAGTGAAGCCCTTGGAAGATAAGTTCCACACATGGGCTCAGAGCTCCCAACAAAATTTTTAGTACCTCACTCTTAAACATGCCAGGCAGCCAAGGACCACCAAACTTTTGAGGAATGCATCTAACGTGAGACCAAAACAAAGAGAGTAAAGAGCAACCTGGAGAAAGCAGAAACTACAGAGAGAGAAAAAATATTTTAAAGTATATTTCAGTCATACCCTAATAGAGATCAACAAGATGTGAGAGAATGGCTAAAATTGAAGAGACTGACAATACCAAGTGTTAGTGAGGACATGGAGAAACTGAAGCCTTCATACTCTGCTGGTATTGCAAACGGTACACTTCGGAAAACAGTTTGGCAGTTTCTTATTAAGTTAAACATAAACATCATATGACTCAGCATTCCCACTCCTAGGTATTTATCCATCCAAGACAAAGGAAATCACATATCCCCATAAAGAACTTGTTCATAAATCTTTATAGCAGCTTTGTTTTGTAGTAGCCAAAACGTAAAAATAACCGTAATTGTATCAACTGGTGAATGGATAAACAATATGTAGTATATCCTTACTATGGAATACTACTCAGTAGTAACAAGGAATAACTACTGATATATACAACACCATGAAGGCATCTCTAAAACATTATGGTGAGTGAAAGAAGCTTGAAGAAAAAGGCTACATATTGTATGCTTCCATTTATATGGCTTTCTGGAAAAGGCAAAACTGGGGCAGTTGGGGGGGCGTGGTGGACAAAAAGCAGATGAGTGATTGCCAGGGACTAGGGGAAGGAAGAGGGGTGAGATTATAAAGAGCCGCAAAAGAACTTGTGGAAGTGAGAGAAATATTCCATATCCTGATTGTCAGAGTGGTTACATGACTATATATGTTTGTCAATCCTCATGAAACTGTATACCAACAAGGTATCAATTTTACTACATATAAATTATATACCTCAGTAAACCTGACTTATTAAAAAAAGATATGGCATTCATGAAAGATGAATAGGAAGCTATTTTTAAAAAGAGATTATTTGGAAAACAAAAAAAAAGTTTTGGGAAATTAAAAATATGATAGTGGAATGAAAAACTTAATGGAAGGACTTGGAGATAAAGCTGAGGAAATCTCCCAGAAAGTAGCAAAAAACAAAGAGAAGGAAAATGGGTGGTGGGGGAAAGAATAGGATAATTAAAGGATCAGTCAAGTAGGGCCAATATCTAAACAACAGCCATTCTGGAAAGAAAGGAAAGAGAAAATAATGGAGGAAATCATCCAAGAAGTAATGCAAGAAAATTTCCCAGAATTAAAGGACACAAGTTTCTAGATTAAGAGGATCCTCCAAGTTCTCAGCACAATAGAGGAAAACAGTCTCACACTAAGACTCATCATTGTGAAAAGAAGCAACACTGAAGATATGTCAAAGTCCCTAAAAGCCTCCAGAAAAGAACAAAGAAAGATTTCATACCATAGATTAAAAATCAGAACAGCATCAGATTTCTCGAGTTCAGCAGTAACAGCTAGAAGACAATGGAGCAATGCCCTCAAACTTCTGAAGAAAAATAATATCCAACCTAGATTTCTATATCCAGATAAATAGCAATTCAGAGTGAGCACAGAAAAAAGGCATTTTCAGATATGCAATGACTCAAAACATTTACCTCCCATGAGCTTTCTCTCACAGAGATCCTGGAGAACTTGTTCCTCCAAAAGGTAGGAGTAAATCAAGAAAGTGGAAGCCAAAGGATCCAGAAATAGGAGAGTCAGCATAAGAAAGGGGTAAAGGGAACTACAGGATGATGCTAAGTGGAGATTCCAGGAAAACAGCAGCTCACAGAGCAGCCAGGGCAGAACAGAGGAGATCCCAGGTCTCCAGGAAAATGAAGTGAGAGAAGATTTAGACACTGGGAGAATATGAGGGTTAAGAGTGGTAAATACACTTCACAAAACCTAAACAGTGAGAAAACAGGACAATTACTAATTCCACAGAAGAAGTTGTTCTGTAAGGAAAATATAATTACAGTATTTTTCATGGCTCAGCAGTGTTATGTTAATGTAGACAGTAGATACTGATCTTCCCCAAATGATGATTAGTTTAAGGAAGTGTGCTTGGATTTAGTGACTGGAGAAGGTGAAAAAGAGCTACCACCTCATCTTCCATGGTATGAAATCAGTAATGCCCCAAACTGAGAAATCAACAAGGAGCATTATATTCATAGTATTTAGTAACAGGAAGATCAATACTTTAAAAACAAACAAACAAACAAAACAACACTGAAAGAGTTTGAAAAAAAAAGGTAGCCTCTGAAAAGTAGGAAATTGGGGGAAGGAGTTGGGAATGGATTTTTTCATAATAAAAATTTGACCTTTTAAACTGTGTACATATCAAAAACAATTTTGAGGGCTTCCCTGGTGGCGCAGTGGTTGAGAGTCCACCTGCCGAGGCAGGGGACACGGGTTCGTGCCCCGGTCCGGGAAGATCCCACATGCCGTGGAGCGGCTGGGCCCGTGAGCCATGGCCGCTGAGCCTGCGCGTCCGGAGCCTGTGCTCCGCAACGGGAGAGGCCACAGCAGTGAGAGGCCCGCGTACTGCAAAAAAAACAAAAACAAAAACAAAAACAAAACATTTTAATAACTACAGTTTTGCTATCTCCACTCTAACAGGCATAGCCTCAAAACCTTTTGTTCAAGCTTTGTTTTCATTTGCATCAAAAGAGAGAAATTAGAGCCCTGAAGTTTTCCAGAGCATCCCAAATACCTGAACACACACACACACTGTATGAATATCTATAAATCCAGCCTTCTTCTTAATCCCAGAAACCCAACACACACTGAGGTCTCCTTTACCATTTCTTGCCCACCACTTGGTTGGAGAACACGCATTTACCTCCGTGCATGGCATCAATTCGGATCTTCAGTTGGCTGGGCCCAGTCAGCAAACTCTTGATGGCATTAAAGTCAAAGATGGTCCGAAGGAGGTTGAGATAGATATCCACTGGGTCCACTATCTCCACTAAGGATAGGAAAGCAAAAGGAGACACCAGTGACTACCCATGAAGGATACTTGGAAGCATAAAAATGCATGAAATTAGGATCACAGTCACATCATAACCCCACACATTTATGTGGGAAGCGAAGTAACCATTTGCAGACAAAATCACAAATTAAAGCACAATCAAGATGCTGCAAAGTTTGCAGGTGATCAAAAGGTGTAAAAAATCTCAAGTTATAAATTCTTCTTTGCAAGTGAAAAAATCAACCACAAGAATAAAGTAGTTAAGATAAAACTATGCCTATTGTCGCTACTCCCACCTTCTTTCCCTCCCCCAAACTGCAACACCTCAATGCTAAGAGGCATCTTGGCACACCCGGTTGCCTCTTCTGTGGGGAATGGCCAAAGAATGACTCAACTGGCCTGAAACAAATCAAGAAGTGACCTCCGCAATGACCCCTACTTTCCAAATGCCATGGTGCCAACCAGATCCAGGTTCTGAATTGGTGATGAAGGATATTTTTCTACGTTTGTGTGAAGTCTCCTGCATGCCCAAACTAGTACCAGTTTCAGGGTGAGCGCCAGATATTTAGAAATCCTCATTAAACACAAATGTTCTCCAGTGTCCTGCACCACCCAATGACCAGGCATCCAAAACAAGTCTTTTCCACTTATTTCACAGATTCATAAAGCCCAGAATACATCACATTTTTCAACCTTGGCAATCACTACATAATTAATAGTCAGAAAGTACTTTTCCTAGAAGTAACAAATATTTTATTTTAGGCACTAAAATTTGTCCACGAGCCCTGCTTTTTAAATTCATAGTTAAATTTTGAAATTTATGTATGCTGTTTCTCAAATTTTTCAAAAACATACTACTTTAGAATCCTGAAATACTTAAACCTGCACTAAATATATTACCAATCCACCTTTAATAATTTTTAGTAAATCCAGGTGCAGTATTTGATGGATGAGATTTTATATGTAATATGAAACTGTCCCTTCGTCTAGTCAAATACATGTCTAAAAATATTTTTTCTTGCACTTAAATCAAGGTAGTATGCGTGTCCATTCAAATATAATGTAATTACCGTTTACAGAACACAGATACTTTTTAATCATCTTTTGATATTTGGAGGATATTAATCTATAAGATAAATTAAAAGTTAATCTAGGGCTTCCCTGGTGGCGCAGTGCTTGAGAGTCCGCCTGCCGATGCAGGAGACGCGGGTTCGTGCCCCGTTTCGGGAAGATCCCACATGCCGCGGAGCGGCTGGGCCCGTGAGCCATGGCCGCTGAGCCTGCGCGTCCGGAGCCTGTGCTCCGCAAATGGGAGAGGCCACAACAGTGAGAGGCCCGCATAACGCAAGGGAAAAAAAAAAAAAAAAAAAAAAAAAAAAGTTAATCTATATGAACTGTACATCTAAAAATGATTAACATGATATACTTTACGTTACATATATTTTACCACAATAAAAAACTAATCTATAAAATAAAAGGTTATGGCTTGAAGTTTTACTCACTCTACAATTTAGGATAGTATTTTTGGCAATTATTTCATTCTGGTTCTTTTCAGAAATTCCTGAACCACTTGTCTAAATACATTTGGTATTTATAGCAGATAACACATAGTACCAAACAGAAATGTAAAAAACAAGGAAGCAAGTAGAATTCCATGAAAACTGAAAGTTCACAACACATAGTTCATGCTCTTCATCCTTTAAGGTGAAATGTCAAAGACTGATTTGTTTCCAATTAACTCAAGCCTTGCTCAACATTTAAAACAGCAAGAACACAGTACATAAATTATCCCAAATAATTATCTCCAAATTCTTCTTGGAAGCCAGGGAATGTCTCTATCTACCTTGTGGCATCTGTAGCATTGTAGAAAAGCCATCAAGCTAGCAATGTAGCTGGAGCAGTGGGCCTGAATCTGAGCTCACCAAACATCTGGGTCTCTTGGAGAACAAATACAGTTGTGAAGATACCATAAATAAATAGATAAAATTTCTTCCTGATGGTAATACCTGCTTTTTCTTAGTCATCTTATTTGCCAGTCCTTCTAAACATATGTAATCAAGTACACTTAAATCATTTGTTTAACATAAAATATCCGTTGCAGACTTCCCTGGTGGTGCAGTGGTTAAGAATCCGCCTGCCAATGCAGGGGACACTGGTTCGAGCCCTGGTGCGGGAAGATCCCACATGCCGTGGAGCAACTAAGCCCGTGCACCACAACTACTGAGCCTGCACTCTAGAACCCGCGAGCAACAACTAATGAGCCTGTGTGCCACAACTACTGAAGCCCGTGCACCTAGAGCCCGTGCTCCGCAACAAGAGAAGCCACTGCAATGAGAAGCCTGCAACGAAGAGTAGCCCCTGCTCGCTGCAACTGGAGAAAGCCTGCGCACAGCAACGAAGACTCAACGCAGACATACATACATACATATATAAATAAATAAAACATCCCTTGCTTTTAGTTGTCAAGCGATTGTGCAAGTGTGTGTGTGTGTGTGTGTGTGCAAACTCCCAACTAGATTAATAAAATCAGGAACTGTTGCTTCCAATAAATATCACATGATTTTCAAATAATTTCTGCTCACTAGCTAAGCAAGCAACTGACTCAAAATCTTCCAAGACAAATGTGATAGAGTTGGCCCAACACTGTGACTCCAAACAGTCCATTTCAAGCTCTTTTCTGTCCCTAAAATACCATGTGGTCATGAGCCAGGTATTTCACCTTTTTAACTAAATTAAATTACTTGTAAAATAAGGGTACCATCTTAACACAAACTGGATTTAAGCTTATAGGGGCATTGAAGGAGTAAAAAAGTGTTAGTTTTATTGCTACTTATATGCCTTCTAGGAAAAAACAATAGGATAATATAAAGGGTGAAAAAATGATATGCATATACATGGCATTAATGTTGTTATATGGTTCAATATTAATCTACAAATTGAAATGTTATAATGGAGGACTTAGAAGCTTTATTCATTCTACAATACAGGATAATATTTTTTGACAACTTCACTCCAGTTTTTTAATTCTTGAATCATTTTCCTAAATCCATTTGGTACTTTGTAAATTCCTTTGTAAAATCTCCTAACACGGAGTGTAATATAGAGCAGGTGATCAACAATTGTGCATTGAATCAACATGAACTGCGTGGTTCTGGCTTGGAAAAGAAACGCCTACCTTCCATGGGAAATTTTAATAACCCCACTACCTTTTAAGGTCTCTTCTTAATTATCCAAAGTATTTCGGTATGTTCACCTTAATTGCTTAGAAAAGCAAAGACACATTTTGGCTTCACAGCCTATTCCTGGAACACTGTAAAAGACTCAGCCATGAAATGTTCCCTATGTCAAAATTGATAGAGAGTTTGGAAAGTCGTTTGCCAGTTCTAAATATCTTGGCTGCTCTCATCTCCCTCTGCACCACACTAAGATTACATCTACTTTTCAAGTGCCACTCCTGAGATTGATAATTCCATCACTTTTGTGTGTGCTTTTCCCTGAAGAAAAAAACAGAGTCACCCCCATCCACGGAGTTATTCTGATTTCTTCAAAATACAGTTTCTCTGTTACCTCTAAACGGTTTGAATTTGTTCTCCAGGTCAAACTCTTGTCTTCCTAGTCGAGACAGGTCAATTCGTAAATCAGGGCATATGGCGTATTCCTCGATTGTTTTGCTGATCTGATAGATTTTGTCTGAGACGACATCTGGCGCAGGACCTAAAATTTGAAAATAATGCACCACCAAAAATAAATCTGCTTAAAAATTAAATCAGAGAAATGTTAATTCCTCCTCCACCAAGCAGGAGAAAGATTCATTTGTGCTCTAGACAACGGTCAACAGTTCACAGTTCGATGTGCCTCGATATTTCTTATCCTTCCACTCTGGAGGAAACATGGCCAGCCTCACCTGTTCCATGTAGGCCAATAACCCACATGGTGGTTTGTTTTAATCCACTTCTAAACAATGATATGTCTTCCCTAAAAATAGTTGCACACCTGCCAGGGACACCTGGTTATGTCATCAGCTTTATTCAGGATATGAGACACAAACAGGATATGCATTTGGCAGAACTGAGGGATTCCAGATTTTAACTGCAGCTTCCCAAGTGCACCTAGAGAAAGAAAATACAGTTTCTACTCCCAGATCTGCTGCCTATTTGATGCATAAGCTGACCAGGGTACATTATTTTCCCCAACTCACACTCTCTAGTGACTCCCAAGTTTTTAAAGTGAGGTTTAAAATATCTGATGTACTTCCTCACAAGGTCAAGCTGAGAGTTAAGGTGAAGTGATAGGCTTTAAATGAACTGAACATGAAATCAACGGTTGTCCTCCTTTAATTTTTCTTTTCTTTTTAATTTTTATATCTTCATGCAAGCAACTTTAGGTTTTTTACAACGAGTTTGGGAATCAAATAAATAAGTAGATTGAAAGATCTAAAACATAAATAATTGATAACTTTGTGTATTGATCTCACTCACCAGCTATATTATAACTTTCTACTGAACAGAAATTATACCTTGATTTCTTTTATATCCCAGCACTTAGAGCTACACTGTCCAATTCAGTAGCTGCTAGCCACATGTGACTCTTGAACATCTGAAATGTGACTAGTCAAATTGACATGTGCTGCAGTTATAAAATGCACATCAAATTTTGAAGAGTTAATAGAAAAAATAGAATACATTACATTAATAATTTTTATAGTAACATGTTAAAGTACTATATTTTGGATATATTAAGTTAAATAAAATATATTATTCATTTCACCTGCTTCTTTTTACTTTTATAGGTAGCCACTAGAAAATTTTTAATTACAAATGTGGCTCACAATATATTTCTTTCTTTTTTTTAACATCTTTGTTGGAGTATAATTGCTTTACAATGGTGTGTTAGTTTCTGCTTTATAACAAAGTGAATCAACTATACATATACATATATCCCCATATCCCCTCCCTCTTGCGTCTCCCTCCCCCACTCCCTATCCCACCCCTCTATGTGGTCACAAAGCACCGAGTTGATCCCCCTGAGCTATGTGGCTGCTTCCCACTAGCTATCTATTTTACATTTGATAGTGTATATATGTCCATGCCACTCTCTCACTTCATCCCAGCTTACCCTTCCACCTCCCCGTGTCCTCAAGTCCATTCTCTATGTCTGCGTCTTTATTCCTGTCCTGCCCCTAGGTTCTTCAGAACCATTTTGGTTTTTTATTCCAGATATATGCGTTAGCATACGGTATTTGTTTTTCTCTTTCTGACTTACTTCACTCTGTATGACAGACTCTAGGTCCATCCACCTCACTACAAATAACTCAATTCCATTTCTTTTTATGGCTGAGTAATATTCCATTGTATATATGTGCCACATCTTCTTTATCCATTCATCTGTCGATGGACACTTAGGTTGCTTCCATGTCCTGGCTATTGTAAATAGAGCTGCAATGAACATTGTGGTACAGGACTCTTTTTGAATTATGGTTTTCTCAGCATATATGCACAGTAGTGGGATTGCTGGGTTGTATGGTAGTTCTAGTTTTAGTTTTTTAAGGAACCTCCATACTGTTCTCCATAGTGGCTGTATCAATTTACATTCCCACCAACAGTGCAAGAGGGTTCCCTTTTCTCCACACCCTCTCCAGCATTTATTGTTTCTAGATTTTTTGATGATGGCCATTCTGACCCGTGTGAGGTGATACCTCATTGTGGTTCTGATTTGCATTTCTCTAATGATTAATGATGTTGAGCATTTTTTCATGTGTTTGTTGGCAGTCTGTATATCTTCTTTGGAGAAATGTCTATGTAGGTCTTCTGCCCATTTTTGGATTGGGTTGTTTGTTTTTTTGATGTTGAGCTGCATGAGCTGCTTCACAATATATTTCTATTGGACAGTGCTGCCTTAGAGCATAGCACTGCTACCGTCTCCCAAAAAAGATTCACTGAACGTATAAAAAGGAATAATGACCAAACTCATCAAGTTGCATACCTTAAATATGTGCCAGTTTTTTATATATCAATTACATCTCAATAAAGCGGGGGGAGAGCGGGGAAAGGAATAGCAATAGCACCATTTCAGTGGATGGAAAAGAGCCTATTAGATTTTACCCACATTTTCTCATACAGGAAAAGTGAAGACCACAAAGAAGTAAACATAGTCCTTCTCAGCTTCACTCCTTACCATTTTTTATTCTTTTGCAAAACTTAAAAAGTAAAGAGTGCTATTTACTTTTTGCATTTGTTTATGCTTGCCAGATGATACACTTCTATATCTCTGCCTCCCAGGCACCACACTATGTTCTTGGGATGTTTCCATCACATTTTAAAAGTCTCCATCTGAGTTTGTTTGCCAAAGCATACTGATTTCCAAAAGCAACACTGATAACCTCTGAGTTCATCAGCATCCTCTGCAACCCTTCACATCTTCCCAGTTCTTGACATCTTCCACTCCAGTGACTTCCCTCTTCATTTTAGTCAATTCCTAGTACAGGCATACCATAAGTATTATTGTCTTTTGATATGCTTCTTGCAAAAATATCAAATTTGAGTATCTTAATCCCACAAATTCCTAATCTTTCATCTACCCTACTTTGTACCCCTGTGAACCTGTTCCTCATTCCTATACTGATGCCCCACATCACTTGATTACTCCCAGGCCATCGGTCCATTTCATTTCACTGGTCTCTTATCCCAGAAGGACCCTATGGTCTAGCATTTGAGCCTTGCCTTTGTTAGTACAGTAAGACAAGCCAACATTTGTTGAAACTTACACATACCACATTTCACATCGTACGTGGAATTCAGCATTCACAAAAAGCAGATGAAGTAAGAATTATTAGTATCCTCATTTTCCAAATAAGGAAACTGAAATTGGAAGAGGTGACCTTAACAAAGGTCACATCACTCGTGTGACAGAGGCTGGGTTTGACTCCTAATAGTCTGATGTCAGCTCAGACACTCTTAACAACTACCAGCCCACCTTATGCTCTGCCATGCCCACACTGCCATTCCCCCCATGTCCCGGGACATCACCATCATCTGCTCCATTGCTGCTATTCCCACACTCCCCCCATGTGTTGCCGAAGGCAGTCATGAAATTACACCAACTGGCTCCCCCGAAGAATGAGACTCTGCTTAATTTCAACTGGGTCCTCACAACCCCCCAGGAATCCTGAACAAATTTCCCAGAGGACCTTTTAGAAAACATCTCCATTTATCCCCTTCTCTATCCTTTCCCCATTATCTTAGCAAGTTACATTTCCTCTTCTTTTTTTTCAACAGATATAGGCAACTATTTCCCAAAACTTCCACTCTGCACCCTCAAAGTGCTTCTTTCCCTCATCTCTGCCTCCTTACTCAGAAGTTCTACCTACTTCTTGGAATCTAGGTTCCAAATGAGCTACACAGCTTATGAGTTCTGTGACACTGGGCATGGTTTTTAAACCCTGAGGATTAAATGAGAACATGATGTAAAGTTCTGACTATGAAGCTTGGCACACTGTAATTATTCAAAAAAATCAATATTTTTATTACTGATTCCTTTTGTCCTCTAGCACCTTCTCCCCTATTTAAAAACATGCTCAGAAAGGTCCTGTCCTCTAAATAATTTAAAAGCAACACAGCTTTAAATGTGTCCTATTTCCCTGGATGTGCCTACTAATTCTATAGACACTTGGCTTTTAACTTATGCCATAAGATGTGTTTGTATGACACCCAATAGAAGAGATGAATGTCTGCAACTTCACATGAAGGATAACATGGTAAAACTACTCTAAGTGGGAAGAAACCAACTGAATCTCTCTATGCCATCAGGAATGTTAGTCTCATTAATGATGCCAGGACATGTAAACATGAAGAATTAAATGTAAGAGGAAGGACTTTCAACAGAGTTAAAGGCTAAACGATAAGTTCAACCCCCTCCCTCTATTCAGGATATGACTTAACAGGTCTCATAACCTCCTGTAATTTGGTCTACGAAATGGTTATTTAAATAATATCTTCCCCTTTTATACCTCACAAGTTATCATAGAGATGACTGAGATTCTCTTGCAAGATACAAAGTCAGACATTAATTTAAATGCTGAAATACATTATTTAGTTTGGCAACTTATATATTACATTGCTCTACAAATTGCCATTTTCTGAGCTCATGAAATGTCCTGTGTTATCAGTGTGCAGAACTCCTACGCATTGCATATTTTTCCCTGAAATATTCACTAGCTGCTGCAAGACTAGATGTTGGCCCTAGGTGTGCTTTTCTTACTGAAGCAGGGTTTCTTGAATCACACTTTCAAGAATGAGGCTCTTCATAAGGTGTTTTTTTTAACACGATGTGAGTAATGTTCTTTCTCTGGATAATGTCCAAAATAGCTGCAAGGAGGGGGCAATCATGTACTTCCCCTTCAGGATGTGCTATTTTGCCTGGGCCAGGAATGCTTCATAATGGCACCAGTTGGTTAAAATTCAGCTCCCACCCACATATACACGAAGACTCAGTATTCTAGATTAAAAGAAATTTAAGAGAATTAAAAAACAAATGCAGGGGGGTGGGATGAATTGGGAGATTGGAATTGACATATTTACACTACTATGTATAAAATAGGTAACTAATGAGAACCTACGACATAGCACAGGTAACTCTACTCAGTGCTCTGTGGTGACCTAAATGGGAAGGAAATCTTAAAAAGAGGGGATATATGTATACGTATAACTAATTCACTTTGCTATACAGCAGAAAGTAACACAACATTGTAAAGCAACTATACTCCAATAAAAATTAATTTAAAAAATAAATAAATAAAATTTAAAAAAACAAATGAAATGCATGGTTCTGGGATAAAACTTGGTTTGAACAAAACAGATGTAAATAACATCTGGGGGATACTTGGAAAATTCCGAATACAGATTAGGTTTTAGATGATATTAGAGAATTAGTATTATTTTTGTTAGGTGTGATCTTGTAGTTATATAGGAATACGTCTTTATTTTAAAGAGATGTCAGAAATATTTAGGTGCAAAATACCTTCATGCTATAATTTACCTTAAAATTCTTCAGAGGAAAAAAATAAGCAAAATGGAAAAACAAAGTAATGGATACATGGTATCTATTTATTATCCTTCCTACCTTTACATATGTTCAAAAAACTTTTTAATTCACCCCTATACACATATCCCACCCCACTAGGACTTCTAAACTTTAAATTTCTATAAATATAAGAAAAAGTGAAATAATTCTAGGCATGTCAGTGAGAGAAAGTCAACACTATAGGAAAGAGAGAATGTAGGACTTATGCTAAGGAGTCATCTGTCTGACCATGTGACCTTGAGCAAACAGCCTCTCAGGGCTTCAATTTGTTCACCTATAAAATGACAGGAATGATCTAAATGATTTTGAGGGTCTGTTCCAACTTTAAAATCCAGAGTCCTTCCATGTCAGATAAGCATCAACATTCAACCGTTTCACTGTGCTGAGGAGTACAGAGGACCAAAATGGGTTTGAGACCCCGTTATGCCATTTCCTCATCAGGTCACCCTGGGCAACGTGATGTTTAATTTTATGTGTCAACTTGCTTTGGCCACAGAGAGCCCAGATGTTCATTTAAACGTTATTCTGGGTATGTCTGTGAGGGTGTTTCTGGATAAGATTAACATTTTAATCAGTAGACTGAGTAAAGCAGATTGCTCTCCCCAGTGTGGCTGGGCCTCGTCCAACCCACTGAAGGCCTGGACAGAACAAAAAACTGAGAAAGGGAGAATCCACTCTCCGCCTGACTGTTTCCAGCTGACACACTGGCCCCTCCTGACTCAGACTGGACCTTACACTCTGCTGCTTCTCAGGCCTTCAGACTCAGATCAGAACCATAACAACCATTGGCTCTCCTGGGCCTCCAGCTTGCTGAGCAAAGATCTTGGGACTTCACAGCCTCCATAATCACGTGAGACAATTCCTTATAATAAATCTCTATACAAATCTTCCTCAACTAACAATGGAGTTATAGTCCAATCAACCCATTGTAAATTGAAAATATCGTAAGTCGAAAACGCATTTAATACACCTAACATCACGGTTTAGCCTAGGCTACCTTAAGAGTGCTCAGGACACCGACGTTAGTCAACACTTTTACAAAATCATCTATCACAAAGCCTATTTTATAGTAAAGTGCTGAATATCTCAAATAATTTACTGAATACTTACTGAAACTAAAAAACAGAAATGATTGAATGGGTACAGAACAGTTGTAAGCGTACTGGCTGTTTACCCTTGTGATTGGGTGGGAGCTGCATTCGCTGCCCCTGCCCAGGATCACGAGAGAGAATCATACCACGCACACATCGCTAGCCCAGGAAAAGATCAAAATTCAAATTTCAAATGAAGTAGTCTCTATTGAACGCATATTTTTGCTTTTACACCATTGTAAAGTCAACAAATCTCTAAATCAAACAATCGTAGGTTGGAGCCTGTCTATGTGTCCTATTGGTTCTGCTTCTCTAGAGAACCCTGACTAATACAGGCACCTCACTAGATTTTTCTGAGCCATTTTCTCTCTGCCTTGCTTGTCCACCATCAGTGGGTCACTGTAAGACTATGACAGTATAAAAAGAAAGAAATCATGACAATTAAGGCATATTCTGAACCACATACCTCCATTGGCAACATTAAATTTCACTCCAAACTCTCCCCCTGGTCCTCCAGGGCAGTGGCTGGCTGTCAGGATGATTCCACCAGCTGCCTTGATCTTTCTGATAATGCAGGATACAGCAGGTGTTGACAAGATGCCATTCTGTCCAATAATCAGCCGACCAATCTAGATTAGCCAAGGAAAAAAAATCAATCCAGTTACATGGGATTGAAGTGCATTTCAATGAGAAAGTGTCCCAGACTCTCTTAGCACACACTAATCACTTGGCAAAAAGAACTGAGTGGGGCTTCCCTGGTGGCACAGTGGTTGGGAGTCTGCCTGCCGATGCAGGGGACACGAGTTCGTGCCCCGGTCCAGGAAGATCCCACATGCCGCGGAGCGGCTGGACATGTGAGCCATGGCCGCTGAGCCTGCGCGTCCGGAGCCTGTGCTCCGCAACAGGAGCGGCCACAACAGTGAGAGAAAAAAAAAAAAAAAAAAAAAAAAAGAACTGAGTGGGGTTAAGGTGGGGGGCATGTGTAAGGGGGTGGGGGGAAGGGTAGCTCAGGCATTGTCTTTCCTTCCCCATGTCTTCAAGACCATTTGGGACACCCACATCTCACAGTCAGTTATTAACCTGTAAATGGGATCTGCCTCATTGATTTTCAGTAGTTTAAAACACCTGCTTTTGCTGTATACCTGAAACTAATGACATTGTTAATCATCTATACTCCAATATGAAATAAAATTTTTTTTAATATATTAAAAACAACACCCACTTCTGATGACCAAAGGGTTAGCTTGAATCACACGAGAAGTTCTTAGTTTGTTACTGGCTTAGAAACCGCACGTGTACATGCTGGAAATTACAAGAAAAAAATAAAACAGAGCACTTCTCTGCTTCACCTTCCTTCTCTGCCTCAGCACAAGCTCACACAGTAGGGACCTGATTTGCTACATCCTCATCGACTGCAAGTGTATTTTAACTGCACTTGGAAGGCCCAGTCTCCTGAAGGCAGAAGTCCTATTTTGGCAGCATGTGCTATAGGGACATTGGAGAAATCCAGCCATGCTAGGCGGAGATCTGGAGGTCATCCATCAGTGTGGCCAGACTCTCTATAGCTACAAAACTGATTTTTTAAAAAAGAAAGAAAACGGCATAGCCCTGCAGAGCATTACTTTATATGCTTTGTTTTAAAATAGGGCCCAACGTCATCCAATCCAGTGGTTCTCAAATGTTGCTACAAATCAGAATCATTAGTGAAGCCTAGAAAATTCTAGTACTAAGTAGTCTAGTAGTCTAGTCCAGTACTAAGAGTGCATTCCAGACCAATTATATTGGAATCTCGGGGTGGGATCCTGAGCTCCACAGTTGTTTCCAGCATTCAGCCAAGTTTGGTGATCAAACCCCCTCGCTACTCAAAGGGCCAGAGGCATGGGCATTACCTGCGAGCCTGGGAGAAATGTTAAACCTCAAGCCCTACCCCACACCTACTGAATAAGAATCAGTATTTAGCAAGATCCCCACCCCTTCTCCACATAATTCATTTGTCTATTAACGTTTGAGAAGTACCAGCAACCAAAACCATAGCCCAGCAACCAAAACCAGCTCCTGTGTCCAGCTCAACAGCAGTTACCCTGGCACCAACGATAGCATTGCTGGAAGTAGGTCACTGACCAGATATGATAATGAGAAAATATACAAAAAAAAAAAATTTTTTTAAGGGCAAACACAAGAGCTCCAAAAACAAAGCAGTCTTGCGATAATTTAGTATAGAAAGACCCACACTCCACACCTCCCCAGAGTACATATTTTCAAGTGGATGAGGCAGATTAAAAACAAATAAGCCTAATAGTAGTAGTGGTAGTAGTAATTACTAGTTGGATACATATTGGAAAAAATCAGCAGGTTTCTATGATAGAAAATAATGGGGTGTTAATTTTAATAATAACAGTAACAATTATAATAGCTAAGGGAGCTTGGATTTTATTCTAAGTACAAGGGGAATCCATAGAAGGGTTTTAAGCAGTGGAAGTGACCTGATATCAGTTACATTTTTTTAAAGATCATGGACTGAACAATCCAAAAGATCGTATTAAAAAGCAAGTCATTCACATCAGCAAAGCATTCCAATGACTGTCCTTGTCTCCCACCAACCCCAGGTAAAGTCAAAGTCTTCATGGTCTACCAGGCCCTACATGATCTGACCACCGTCACCTGCCATTCTCCACTTCCCTCCCTCCCTCTGCTCCGGCCACACTGGCTGGTTTGCTGTTCCTCACACACATCAAGCGTGCTCCCCTACATGATCTCCCCCCCGCCCCCTGCCATTCTCCACTTCCCTCCCTCCCTCTGCTCCGGCCACACTGGCTGGTTTGCTGTTCCTCACACACATCAAGCGTGCTCAGTGCCTTTCCATTTGCTCTTTCCTCTCCTCAGAGCACTCTTATCCAGGTATTCATAAGCCTGCCCCACCCCATCCTTTGGGTTACTGTTCCAACGTCAACTAATCAAAGATAGCACCCTTGACAGCCCTATACAGTAGGGCACCCATAAGTCCCTAATTTCTCTACTGGCCTCTATTTTCTTTATCCTGTTTAGTCTTCTGTATTACACATATTACCCCTTAATATTTTCCATTTTATTTGTTTATTTTCCCACTATATATAAGTTCTAAGGACTTTGTTTTTTTCACTGCTATACTCTGAGTATCTAAACCAAACTTAGCATATACTAAGTACACAATAAATATATGTTGAATTAATTAATTGAAAAGAATGAATGAATGATGAGGGAGTGGCTGCAATATGCAAAATGCATTAGAGACTGACAAGAGCAAAAGGAGAAAGATCAGATGGAAGGCTCTCATGGCACAGCTGAGTGTGGACAGCATCTTGGACTAGACCAGAGGCAGCAGAAATGAAGAGAAGTGTTTACATTTGAATATATTTTTGGAAGGAGAATGAACAGAACATGTGGGTGGAATGAAATATGGAAGGGAGGTGCTATAGTAGCCAGCCCCTAAGATGGCCCCCAATGATCTGTGCGTTCTGGCATTCATGCCGCGGTGCAGGACCCTCCCACAGTGAATAAGGCAGATCTGAGTGATTAGTAGAACGTTGCATAAGTGATGGTGTGTAACTTCCAATAAATGACATTGCTGCTTCTGCCCTGCTCTCTTGGATTGTTCATTCTGGGGGAAGCAGCCACCATGTCCCCAGGACACTCAAGGAGCCCTGTGTAGTCACCTGAATGGAGAGGACCTGAAGCCTCCCACCAACAGCCAGCACCTACTTGCCAGCCGTGCAGGTGAGCCACCTTGCACTAGATCCTCCAGCCCTTCAAGCCTTCATATGACAAAGTCCCCACCAATAGGCAACTGTGACCGAGTCAGAACAACCTACCTCCTGTCCCACAGAAACTGTGAGTAATAGTAAATATTTGTTTATTTTAAGCCACTAAGTTTTGTCATAATTTCTTACACAGAAATAAATAACAAAAACAGGGGCAGTGAGGAAAGGAGCCAACTCACAGCTTCTACATTTAATAACTTGATGGATGGTGGTGCCACTGATTGAGAAGGGAAAGACAAAGGACAAAAATTACACTCATATTTTATCCAGAGCCAAGATAAATCATGTTCCACATGCTTTCGTTACTAAAATTTATTTAGTCATTCAACTTATTTTATTGAGTATTACCATGAAACAGGCAATGTAGAAGACCCTGCAGGTACAGTAATGAATACAAATCAGTCACTACCCTCAAGGAGTAAACCTGCAGATTCAAGAATGTGAAAAATATTTGTAACTTTTGTTCATAATTTTCTCTCTCTCCCATTTTTCAGGATTATTCTTAAAGAAATAATCTTTAAAGGGGAAAAAGGTATTATGTGTAGACATTTCCTATAGTGGTATTCATCAGAGGTAAAAAAAAATTTTAAATCATTATAAATGCCTAATAATGAGGAACCTGTAAAATAAAGTGTGATGTATCAACTTATGGAATATTCTTCAGCCATCTAAAAGGATTATTATGAAGACCAAGCACCTGTGGCAGACTTGGTGAGCAGTCCACAAAAAGTTATGCTCCCCTTTCACAGGGTAGAACTGTTGCTGGGCAGCAGCTGCCCAGCCAAGGGCTACATTTTCCAGACCACCCTTGCATCTAGGTGTGGCCACATGACCAGTTCTTGCAGTGAGTGATAAACTACTATGAGAATGAGAACAGAAGTAATGTGTGCTCCTTCTGGGCTAAGGATGTTAAGGAATAGATACGTCTTCTCCTCACTGCTTATTTCCCCTTCCACAGACTCAACACAGGTGACCACACAGCTCGAGGAAATGCCAGAGCAAGAAGATGGAAAGAACCTGGGTGCCTAGCTCACAGGATGGACAAGAGTCTTTGTTCACCAGCAAAATCCCCATTGAACTATTACGTGAGTGAGAAATAATTTTCTATTGTTTTTAAGGGAATAAAAATTGCCGAGGAGACATTCAAGTCTCCTGGCAGAGAAGTAAGACATAGAGATCACCTTCATCCCCACAAATACATGAGAAATACATCTACATGTAGAACAACTCCTACAGAACACCTACTGAATGCAGGCAGAAGACCTGACTTCCCAAAAGCCGTGTGGTTGACAAGGTCTTGGTGCTACGGCCGGGTGTCAGGCCTGTGCCTCTGAGGTGGGAGAGCCGAGTTCAGGACATTGGTCCACCACAGACCTCCTGGCTCCACGTAATATCAAATGGCAAAAGCTCTCCCAGAGATCACCATCTCAACACTAAGACCCAACTCCACTCAATGACCAGCAAGCTACAGTGCGGGACACCCAAAGCCAAACAATTAGCAAGACAGGAACACAACCACACCCATTAGCAGAGAGGATGCCTAAAATCATAATAAGGTCACAGACACCCCAAAACACACCACCAGACATGGTCCTGCCCACCAGAAAGACAAGATCCAGCCTCATACACCAGAACACAGGCAACAGTCCCTTCCACCAGGAAACCTACACAACCCACTGAACCAACCTTAGCCACTGGGGGTAGACACCAAAAACAACGGGAACTACGAACCTGCAGCCTGCAAAAAGGAGACCCCAAACACAGTAAGTTAAGCAAAATGAGAAGACAGAGAAACACACAGCAGATGAAGGAGGAGGGTAAAAATCCACCAG